ATTCAGAGGTCCGAGTTCGATTCCCAGCACTACCAGATTTTCTGTGAAGTAGTGGGTCTGGAACGGGGTCCACTCCGCCTCGTGAGGATAACTGAGGAGCTACTTGAATGGAAAAGTAGCGGCTCTGGTCTAGAATACCGAAATTAACGGCCGTGGGGATTCGTTGCGCTGACCACGCGACACCCTCTACACGCAAACGTTGGCACTAACTTCGCCGGCAAGCGGCGGTCGCTCGGTGGGTACGGTTCGCTTGCGGACTAAAATCACGGAATTTGGTTCAATATTGCGTTCCTCCCTGCCATCCATGATTTATAGTCAGGCCTCTTGTTTTCGCGCCACAGCTCAGTTCAGGTTGTGATGTTGGATTAACGAAATGATCTGATCTGCGTTCGAACTCTCGATTCAAGTGTCGAGCGACGGAAGATCATACACGCCTTAGATCACGATGGAAATCAGGATCAGCAGTGTGTGCCGTACTTGCACGATCAGCATGATCATGGCACTACCGAAACTTTTTATTTTGGTGATACCGCCCCAATTTGGGCCTTGGTTTACCTCCATGAAACTCTCTGTTTCACTTCGGATTACTAGATCTTAAGACATTCAGTAGAACTCATCAGCTCGTTGCAAGAAAAACGCACGCGCACACACAAACTAAACATCCATGCCCTGAGTGGCATTCGAACCCACGATCCCGGCTTCCGAGCGAGCGAAGACAGTACATGCCTTAGACCGCTCAGCTACTGTGACCGGCACCGGAACAAATTCCTCAGCAGAAAAATTTCTACTTAAACTAAATTACATCAACCCTATATACTCGTACGTGTATATTTTATTAAGTGAGAGGGTCATTCTTATACCTTATTTTACAGACCTATTGAATTTATAACATACCGGCAGGCTCAACTTACAAATAATCGATTCACCAATATCCGCATATACGAACAAAGGTAAGGATCATACTTAAATAATGCGATCATGCAAATCAGCCCCCTTTCTCGAAAATTACTTGCAATGGTCCCAAATGACCTAGTGCCATCGTCCCCCTACAAGGTCTGCACTGCCGCAGAAGTCCCCTTTTAACTCCCCGCTCTCTAACTGAAAGTCTCTCTCCTCAATATTCAAGAAAACAACAGAGGAAAACTGTTGACTTTGATTGTCTGCATTGCTTCATTACCTGCATTAAGCCACAACGTTGCCTTACAGCACTATGGATTTCAATTTGACTACATTTTAGCTGAATTGTGGGTTAAATATGCTACTATGTGCTGGCTTGGAAACCTAAACACCGCCCACAGCATCGTGCCTGTGGAAATTCGAGTTCCCAGTTTCTAACAAAAGAGTTATGAACTCTCGGATGGCAACAAGGGGACTTCCTGCAAAGTCAACTTGTGAATATGGAAGTTTCCTGAGATGTTCAACGGGGCATTTCATCATCACACATCACCCTCCTCCAGCTGACATTTATCAGAATTAATCTGGCTGTCAAATGACACCAGCGATTAAAGCATTAGGACGTCTCTCACTGTTAACTTGCTTCCTGGTTCTCTCGACAAGTGGAGAAAACTGGACGCACCGTGTATCCTATGTGTGTGAGCTATGTGCTCCTGTTATCTTCAAACACCAAGTTATGACTTCATTAGTATATTATATTTAATGTCGCTGCTTATCTTTAANACACAACACAAAATACACCAGACAGCACACGTATTAAAGATAAGCAGCGACACACACACAGAGAGCCTACATAGAACAATACCTGAACAGCAATAATACAAGAAGTGGCCGCTGCAGCACTATAGACATAGGGCGTGAACCCCAAGAAAATTTTAATTTTTAAAAATTTGGAAAAAGCAAAAGAACAGAACATTTATAGACATTTTAATTTGAATTGAAGTTTTAAAAAAGTGCCAATTTTAGAAATCAAATTGACGCGTGTAGGTTAACAAAGATTTTATAGCCTACATACATACAATTGGAAAGACTGGTGATTTTAAATTTTAAACTACGGGCAGTGTAGCAGCTACGTAAGAATACACACCTGATGATGGCCATTTAGGGCCGAAACATGTAGTGTGGAAGAAGGGAAGAAGAAAGAACTACAATTAAATTGTTGCACTTAAGACGGAGTTTGTCTCATATATATTATGACTTCATATTTTGTAATAGACCGCGCCAAATTATCTAAATTAATCTCTGGGTGATAAACGAGAAAACGTAATGGAATCACATTTTTCATAAAAAGGCTGTAACGGCCCCTAAATGCTCCAATTCAGTAACAATTATTTTACTTCCCGTCTTACCCTACATTTACACATCTGCGTCATTATCATTAAAGATGGTGGTAAGTTGCATGTAATAATTACACCGTTCATATCATTAAGAGTCACTGCACAGTACACTTCCTTGCCTGATTAATACAGCCTCAACTGAAAACTGAGGCACCACGCAAGCGTGTTGAATTCTGGCGTGGTCTGGTGACAAACAACGTCCCGTCAAAAGTGCTCAGGCAACGACTTAGGCCGAAAATTGCCCCACATTTTTGTTGTTTCCAAAATGAATCACTCATCTTGTAAGGAGTACGTGAGATTACACGTATATACTAGGGTAAGTCAATAAGCAGAGCACAACAGACCAATGTAGGTCGCGGTACAAGGGCCGAGAATGCCCACCCCTTATACATTAAAGTCAATAAGTAAGTTACAAATGGATATAGAACTTAAACAAATAAGAGAACTGATTTGAAAAATGCTTTTATTTCTCAACATAATCGCCCTGTACTTTGAGGCACTTGTCCCATCGTTTCACAAGACCCTGAAAACTAGCAGCATAAAATTCTTTCGGCTGCTGTCGGAGCCAGGCGTGTTCACACGGCATGGCCTACCTCATAATGCATGACAGGTTAGGTTTTCACAAAGTCTGTGCACGATGGGTGCCGCGGATGCTGACCCCACAACACAAAATGCAAAGAATGGGTCTGGCATTACAGCATCTCAGTCGCTACCACGATGAAGGACACGATATGCTAGCCCGAATTGTCACAGGCGATGAGTCTTGGGTTCACCATTACCAGCCCGAGACAAAGCGTGCATCAATGCAGTGGAAACATCCCGTGTCCCTGCCAAAAAGAAGTTTAAGGTGACACCATCCTCCAGGAAAGTGATGCTCACAGTCTTCTGGGATCAGGAAGGCATACTGCTCACCGCATTCCAGCCTCAAGGACAAACCGTAAATGCCGACTCCTACTGTAACATACCCAGGAAACTTCATAAGGCCATTCAACGGAAACATGCAACCCGTCATGCATTATGGGGTAGGCCATGCCGTGTGAACACGCCCGGTTCCGACAGCAGCCCAAATAATTTTGTGCTGCTGGTTTTCAGGGGCTTGTGAAACGACGGGACAAGTGCCTCAATGTACAGGGAGATTGTGCTGAGAAATAAAACCATTTTTCAAATCAGTACTCTTATTTGTTTAAGTTATATATCCGTTTGTAACTTGCTTACTGACTTACCTACGTATTAGAATGAAAGGGTTTTGGGAAGCGCTGATTTACCTTCTCCATCTTGTAAGGGGGGGGGGGAGATTGAGTCCACTTGGTACGTCGGCCATTAATTGGCCTACTGTACCAGCCCCGGATAATAGATGATGATGAATGTGCAGCAGTTGCTGGAATGAGAACTGGCAGGGCAAACCGAAGTACTCTGAAAAGAACTGCCCCAACGCAACTTTGTTCACTGCAAATCCCACATGACCTGACCTGGGCTCGAAACCGGGCCCCACATGCATTTCAACATTATATCCAAGGGCAATATTCTACCTGTACGCTGGTTCAGGATACGGCCCACTGGAGGTGTCTTGTGGACAAGGTAATGATTCTTCGGGGTCCCATAAAACGCCTTGAACTTGTTGACTAGCTGAACAACTAACGAAGGGCTGTGTTCGACTGAATCACATTACCAACTTCCCATCCCACTTAACCATAAGTATATAGCATACGAGGTGATATCGGAAAGTTCCCGGACTGTTATTGTTTTAACTGCCTCAGTGAAAGAAGATAAGATGGGAGGCCAAAGTCACACTTCCGAAATCGTATTGCATCAGTCTGCATGTGACACCGTGCTGTGAGCACGCACTGCTGTTACACGAGTGCTTTTTCGACTTTGTGTTTCGTTTTGCTTGCGATGGATGGCAAAATCGAACAATGTGTCTGAATTAAGTTCTAAGTGAAGCTCAGCAAATCCGCTACCGAAACTTTTGAAATGCTTCGTGAGGCTTTTAAAGAACATTCTTTAAGCTACAATGAGTGAGCATCATATTTTATTTTAATTTTCAAATGTGTTTAGTCGTTTTAATCACAAGGTGCCGGCAGAACCAAACAGATTAATTCAATGGACCACAGCTGGTACCCGGTGGCTGAGTCACAAATTCTCTGCTTTCCTAGGGACTGCTAAATCCAGTCCACATCTTCATTCAGTATATAAGTTTAATTTTCATACAATTCTCCAATCGTTACTGTTAGTACCAGTGTCCAACATCATCAGTCATCATGGGTAACTGCAACATCTTCCTCATCGCCACGTTTATCTTATGCTTACCGCAACTACTGTTTCCTATTTCTTCCGGTAGGGGGACGGACATCAAGATCAGTTATGGGTATCTTTTAATTCGTTTCATCCACTTCAAGGACTCAACGCATTCTAAATTATTTTGTACAACATAATGAAAATGTTTAAAAATTTAAAAGGGATAATATTTGTATTAAAAATTACGAAACTATCTATGACATAAATGTTCAGTTTAAAACCAGCAATTATTAAGCGGATTTGATCTATGCTAATGGCACGATGCTGAAGCAAATACATTATTTTGAAACTCTCAACCGTACATGAAAGCGTTACGAGGAAGTAGATTAAACAAGTTGTTCCTAGAATTTCTTATTGTAGAAAACAATTTCGGAACAAGAGGAACAAATAAAGATGATGGAACAGTAGACTCACCTCCGACTTGCCCTTGAGGTAACACAGCTCTCTATGTGCTCCCGAGGAATGCCATTCCATCCGCTGTAACAGAAAAGCAAAAGTCATTGTAGACAAAGAACGGCGACCCCTGGACTGATATTCAAGAGCAATCACGAAAATAAGAGGAAAACAGATACATAACCCACGACAAAGTTCCTTTTATCCATTATACANGTAGACAAAGAACGGCGACCCCTGGACTGATATTCAAGAGCAATCAGGAAAATAATGTGAACAGAGGAAAACAGAATACTTGCTGTCATTCAGAATCCTTTGTTTTCCTGTCTCCTGTCGAAGATCCTAAATATTAAAGTATACGGAATTACTGTACCTTTCACTAAGCCACTTTGCCACGTGTAGGGTGGTACGACNCAGCAGTTTAAGATCAGGGAATACTTGCTGTCATTCAGAATCCTTTGTTTTCCCGTCTCCTGTCGAAGATCCTAAATATTAAAATATACGGAATTACTGTACCTTTCACTAACCCACTTTGCCACGTGTAGGGCGGTACGCGTGACGATATTAACGGAGTCTACTTCGGATGATTGGATTTACTGGCACTGCGGTAACAACCTCTCTTACTTACAAGCAATACAGCGCTATCGCTGATTTACACACTTTACCGTTCACCGTTGCACACACACTAGGATCTTTAGTTTCCACTACAGTCCATTCGCGGAGACGAGAGAGTCCTCGTAAACAAATGCACGCGGTATCTCCTTCGCTCTTTAAATGAAATCACGCAGCGATCACGTGATGCGTGTATCGTTGCAGGGGCGTCCAAATTTCACTCTTCAGTCTGAATGCAGTGAGTACACTGAGTAACTGCGCGCTTTGTCCACTCCTTGCTGTCAGCTGTGGCGACGCGGTGCTTGCTTTGTTTACGCTAACTGTCTCGTCTCCGCGAATGGACTATAGTCGTCTCCTGGCAACGGATCTCAAGACAGATATTATCACTTCAAATCACTATGAAGTGTTCTTGTTATTTCTTCAACCATTCCGTACTGAATTAAACTTCACCCTTCACTAAGGACATGCTCCACTCTCGTTCTTGTACCAAAACTGGCTACAGACGCACAGATGTAAAGTTGATAATATTAAAAAGTGAGCTCAATGAAGATGTACACACAGGCGCTCTTCTTGTGTTATGTTCTGCTGTATCTGTAATATTATCTGTATTTGCTGTTGCGCTTTCTACGCGCTTCTTTTGGCAGGGCGCAGGCAGGGGGAAGGGGGCAAACCAGTATCTGTATCCCCCGGATTTATGGAGAAATTTAAAACTGGTGAAAATAAGAATACCGAATCATCTTATTTTCTTCCTCGTATTCCCGTACCTTGAAGGATCAGGCCGTGTGGCTTGTTCCCATTCAAAATAAATCTGAAACTATGAATCATATAGACATTAGGACGACTCTTCGGACGGCAGGTCACCGGGTCGCAAGGCCGCTACCTACAGACCAAAAAAAAACACAGGAAGAAGACAGACATTAATGCCTCGAGTAGGATTCGAAGACACGATCCCAGTGCTTGGGTGTGCTAAGACAGCGTTTCTCAACCTCTGGTTCTCGGCCCGCAAGCATACTTAAATTAAATTAAATTAAAAATGATCCAACCAAAACAAATTAAAATTAAATAAGTAAGTAAAAATTAATTAAATCATACTCTTTATTTGAAGAAAGTCGTCTTCTGGGTTTACTGCTCTCTGCATTCCAAGCCATTCAACTGCTCTGAAGATGGAGGCGATACGTTCCTCCGAAACGTCGGCCAAAACGAAGAATACACGGCGCCTAAACCAAGAAGACGACTTTCTTCATAGTCATTGCCGTGAAAACCTCAAAACTTACATATTCTTTATTTGTTTAATAAAAGTTAAAACTTTGTTCAATGATGATTCACTTTTAATAGTTTACTTCCAATTTAATTAATTATGTTTCCATATGTATTCAAAACATGCTTTTGGATTTATTATGCTATAAATGGCACAGTATGTCCCAAATGTTGGTAATACCACATAGGTTAAAAAAAATAGGCCTACATAACTTAGTGGTCGTAGAATATTTTCAGACATTTTACTGGATCTTCGGCTTAAAAAGGTCGAGAAACGCTGTGCTAAGACATTTGGTGCCTTGAACCGCATGGCCTTTGTAATCGGCACCAAATATTAAAACCAGAAAGTTTTTAAAATTATTCCTCCATCCCGAATACAATAAGATGATAAAGAGTCTTTAGTGGCTTAAACTAAAGTTCACAAACACATTTTCTGGTTGCACCGCCACCCGCTTGGAAAAATGGCTGCCACCTCCTGGTAAGAATTCCGTCGACACCTGCAATTCCCTTCTTGCTGTCAGGGGCTACACTAAATTCGCTAAACCGAATAACAGAAAAATAAATAACAGTACATTGCTTTGAGGTTGAAACATCGGCGAGATCAATGTTTATGAAACGAAGTGGATGTTCACATCTGGCACCAACAAGATCAGAAGCATCATGTTAAGAGCATGCGTGTAACTGAGACTATAAGAAATTAAATTACATGTTACATATGCATAGAAACCATTAAGCATCCCTTCTCCATGTGACAAGCTTAAGTGCTTCTGCTTCAAGAGGATCAGGACGCACATCGCATAAAACACTGCACGCCTCAACGCCGTTCGCAGCGTCTAATCGTAAGAGTACATACATACAGTGGATTTATACAACCGTCACACAAGATAAAGAGACCCCCGCAAGTTGTGCTGCAATAAAATTAATTGCGTTCCAAGTACGACTTAACAAAGCACAATCCAGCACGATATGCTAATCTCGTCAAAGCCGCAATCAGCAGTCTCCAAGTAAATAAGCAATGAAACAAGTCTCGAATATCACGAGAAAATAAGATAAGATACGCCTATTACTCTGTTATAAATGTTCAACGCAACAAATGGCTTTTACAGCACAATGAATAACTATTTAATGTATGGCATAAAAAAGGAAATTGTTAAAAATTGTTGACAGGAATGTGTGTTTCTCTTAAAGTAAAAATAAGAAGTTTATGTTTTGCACGCAAACCATACACCTACACCAGAATAACCTCATCTTACATGACGTGCAGGACTACTCAAAGTTACAATCAGTCCCATTTCCGAAACTCGGTTTCGGGAGGAAACCCACCTCCAGTGTGGAACATGAAACGGGCGCAAAATCTTCAATTAATGCTATTATAAAATAGCTGAAGCTGAAAACTTAATTTCATTTTAATTGCATGAATTTGTGTGAAGGAATCGACACGAGGGAAGCGAGCAACCAAAGCAGTGAACCGAATAAAATGGCGTTTCAATCTGAGAAGTCTTCTAATAAGTTCGCTTATTTTGCTACACTGCCCTCAAAACAAGGCATCCGTTGCCTTGCGACACCAATGTCGTTATACTTGAGCGTATACTGCAAATCTCAGATACAAACATTACCATTTCATTCGCTCACGATATGAACGGGTAATGCGCCCAGGGGTCGCATCTGAGAAATGTCTTTAATGAATGTTACAAGGATCCACACGAATACCGATACAAAATGCATTTAGCCAGGTCCGTAATGGGGGCTTACGAAGAATTCAAGAAAAATCATACTTAGATCGTACAATACGTCAGAAATATCGCCGGCATTCATCAAGTTTTATCAAAATATGTCAACGAACTAAAAAGGATAGAAAAAGTGAAGCTTAAGCGGCCTTGATGCTCGTGAGACCGGTCTATCGGCACCCTCAACCTAGTCGCTTCCTTGTCGATTCGGTTATGACGTTTATAAGTGTGACAGTCCGACTGCGTCACTTATGCTATGTGGTAATACAGGGCGTTCAATCAAGGAGGAAACTTCGCAACACCGCTGACCGGGCCCAACATTCCTCACAGATTGCTGCTGTAACTGTTGGTAACGGAATGAGTCATTTATCAGCGCTAATGACTCATTCTGCTATCAGCAGTTAGAGCAGCAACCTGTGAGGAATGTTGGGCCGGGTCAGCGGTGTTGCGAAGTTTCCTGCTTGACTGAACGCACTGTACAAAGCTAATACGCATCAACCATCCACATGCTGACACTACTGGCAGAAAAATGCTCATCTGTTTCATATATGCATGACAATTTATAAGCTCAGGCTGTAGAAGGTTGTCGTAAAGTGCCGAGAGATGGCAGGAGTTCCGCTTGACACCCAATACCACACATTACAAAGAGAGAGGGAAGAATCGTCTGTGTCAGAACACAGCCTTAGAAGTCTGTAGAACGGAACGGGTTAAGAACTCAGATCAGTCATCTTCGTTCCTAACTTCGGTAGTCCCTGAACTCGCACTGCCACACAGCAGTTCAACTCAAAGCATTTTCCCTCGGATTATTGAAAGTGCGAGTATGTATGTATGTATACACTACACAGCGGAATTTAAAGAACTCTCAATAATACTATAATTCTGTTTTCGGGCATTCTTTGTAAGAATTCTAGTAACTGCTTTGGGTAGTAATTTTATTGTTGCCTTTATATCAGTTATTCCAAATTCTCTTGTAATATCGCCATTATATTTACGAATGCAATTCTTCTGTCTCCATTTGCTGTTCTGCCAACATTCGGATCCGTACATAATATGAGCATACGTATAGCTAGTATTCTTAAAAGAGTTTTCGGTTAGGTTGGCTTTCCGTGCGTAAATAAATAAAAATAAAACGGACGCCGTATACAATATTAATTATAATTATGGCTCTACAGCCCTTTGTTATGCCTTGGCCACTTTTACAGTTTCTTGATCCTATACACAGTCCGTAGGAATCCTTAGACGGGGGATCAGCCCGTTGCAAGGCCGCTACTTACACACAGAACACAAACACAGAATAAACGCACACAGACATCCATACCTTGGGAGGGATACGAACCCCCCGATCCTAGTGTTCGAGCAAGCGAAGACAGTTCAGTTCATGCCTTACACCGCGCGGCCACTGTCATCGGCATCCTCAATATTCAGGTCTGCATAAAATGATGAATAATTAAACTCAGTTGCCTCCAAAACTGTGACGAAATCCGAACA